TGGCGCGCCTCCTCTTGGCCGCCCCCCCCCCTTTTGAACCTTTATATACGGAGGCAAGGGGCACCCCTAAGGACACAAGTTGATCCACGTGATCATATTCTTAGCCATGTGCGGTGCCCCCTTCCACCATAGTCCTCGATAATATTGTAGCGGTGCTTAGGCGAAGCCCTGCGACGGTAGTACATCAAGATCGTCACCATGCCGTCGTGCTGACAGAACTCTTCCCCGACACTTTGCTGGATCGGAGTCCGGGGATCGTCATCGAGCTGAACGTGTGCTAGAACTCGGAGGTGCCGTAGTTTCGGTGCTTGATCGGTCGGGCCGTGAAGACGTACGACTACATCAACCAAATCAACGCTTCCGTTGTCGATCTACAAGGGTACGTAGATCATACTCTCCCGTCTCGTTGCTATGCATCACCATGATCTTGCGTGTGCGTAGGATTTTTTTTGAAATTACTACGTTCCCCAACATTGTTCACTATGGTACCGGCTTCCCAAGGTGTTCTTTCTTTGCTTTAGGTAAGGGGATCCCAGAGGCAGCCCCTATTCCGTCGCTTTCCAATGTTGGCATAATTTCTATCCAGGCTAAACACATTTCCTCCCAGACCCTTCTCGATGAACTTCAGTTATGGGATGAGGGCGGGTGGGACTGGCAAATCCGCCAACTTTCTGAGTTTGATTTTGCTGCACCTTTTCCCTCCAAAGAGGGCCTCCATACGATCTCCTCATGCACTAGCTTCACGCTGCCTCTGAATCAACTTGTGGCCTCGGTCAAAGCTGCGTCCAATGGGTCTAAGGCGATTTCTTCTCTGTCTGATGTGTGGGTTCTGGTCGAAGATGTCCCTCCTAGCGTGCGCACCACGGCGTTACTCATGGCTTTCGGGGTGCTTATAGGGAAACCGATCGAAGTGGACCAAGCCTCTCTGGCCATCCTGGGACCGGCCCGGCTCCGGGTCTGGTGTGTCGACCCCCTGTGCATTCGCGGCTCCATTGATTGTTTTCCTGCGGCTGGTGGCTTTCGGCTCCGGGTGCGGGTGGAGGGGGCCTCGGGTCTGGCGTCGTCTTCCCCTCCTCCTCCCCCCGGCCTCGGGCAATGGTGACAAAAGCAAGGATGGGGATGGGTGCCCTGACGACTCCATGCATGGGACTGATCCTCGTTTTACTCAGTCTGAGTGGGATGGGCTTTCTCCTGAAGATCAAGATTTGCTCAAGGAGAATGCGCCTGCTAGTAAGGGGGCCCAGGATGCGGCGCCTGGCGTGGGTGGAGGGGATGCGGCTTCGGGTGGGGCTAAAGGTACACCTTTCTTGGCGGTGTGTTCCAACCTCCCTGCCCATCCCGCTTCTCCCTCCTTGTCTGGCATTGAAGATCTCCCCCCGACTGCCCCTGCTCTATCTAAGAAGAAGAAGTTCTCTGTCAAGAAATACTCCGCCAAGAGCCGTGCTTCAAGTGACTCTAGGCAGTCCGCGGCTGGGCTATGCCACAGGCTTGATGTTGATTTGGGTGCGGCTTCGGGCCCGTCCTCTGCTACGGCTTCTCCCAGTCGCACTTGTCCTGTTCCTGTGCGCTCGCCTGCGTCTACGGCCCGCAAGAGCGGCCGCGTCTCCAACAGCGGCGAGCAGGTGGTCGATCGGGCGGCTCGGCGTGCTACGGCTCGGGATCTGCCTCCTTCAGGTTCGTCCCCATCCCCTCCCCCCTCCCCACGGCTACCTCTCCTGTGCGTTTAGTTCTTCCTTCTCAAACTGATGATCACTTGCTCAAAATTCTAGATGATGTTGGTATTTGCTTAGATTCTAGCATGGGTTGAAATTGCCCTGGCTGATATTGCGAAAGCCAAGGAGATTCGGGTGGGTTCGGGCGCTCCTCCGGTTGTGGCCGGTGGGGAGGAGGGGGAGTTGACAGGTGTCAAGCTCCCTCAGTGACTTCTATTAGTGTGACAAGGAAGCGTGCTAAATCCTGCATGGCGCCGAGCAGGTCGAGTCTCCGTATCAAAAACCTATCTTTTAGATGAAGGCCCTATTCTGGAATATTCGTGGTTTCGGCGCTAGGGGGCGCAGGGACCAACTTAAAGACCTGGTCCGATCCGAAAACGTAGAATTTATTGGCCTTGTCGAGACTATCAAATCTTCCTTTTCCTCCAACGAATTATCGGTCATTGCTGGGATAGACAGATTCCATTGGAACTATGTGGCCTCGGCTGGGCACTCCGATGGTCTTCTGCTTGGTGCCAAAAAAGATACTTTCGATTTTGTGGCTTTCGACCATGGCATTTTTTGGGCTAGCATGGTGGTTTCTCTGCGATCCCTCAACTCCTTGTTGGAGATCATGGTGGTTTATGGTCCGGCTGACCACACGATGTCTTATGCCTTCCTGGATGAGGTTAGTATTAAAATTGAATCATGCCAGCTACCCCTCTTGATCGGGGGCGATTTTAACATGCTCCATTTTCCTTCTGACAAGAGCTCATCCAACTTCTCTTGGCCCCTGGCTGATGCTTTTAATGCTTTCATTAGGGACACGGCTATTCGTGAGATTCCTAGGGTTGGAGCCCGTTTCACTTGGTCTAACCATCAAACTCCCCCTATTCGCTCTGTTCTTGATAGGGTTTTTGTTTTCCCTAGGTGGGATTCTTTATTCCCCCAGGTCAGTCTTAGAGCCCTGGCCTGTGTTGGCTCTGATCATACCCCCTTTATTCTAGATGATGGTTCACGCCCAGTGGGTTTCGTGAGATTCTAGTTTGATGCTTCATGGCTACAAGTGGAGGGTTTTAATGAGTTGGTGGCTCAAAAGATCCTGTCTTTCCTTTCCTCTACTCGTCGCTCTTTTGGCCCCATGGATGACTGGTATCAATGCTCCTATTTTTTGCGTTGATTCCTCAGAGGCTGGTCTAAAAATCACTACGATGAGTCAAGGCGTGACAAAGCTAGGTTGGTGGCTCAAATTGGTGTTTTAGATGAACGCGCCGATAGTTTTGGGCTGTCCTCGACTGAATGGCAAACTCGGTAAGGTTTAGAAGAGGCGCTACTGGGCGTTCATAGGCAAGAGGAAGTGTATTGGAAATAGCGTGGTACTATCAACTGGACCTTAAAGGGTGACTCTCCTATATCTTACTTCTTTGCGATTGCTAACGGCAGGCGCCGGAGATGCATTATTGATAGCCTTATGATAGACGGCGTCAGGGTCTCTGACCCCTCGGTGATTATGCGTCACGTGGTTGATTTCTTCTCTAACCTCCTAGCTGATAAACCCATGGTAGGCTTTAATTTGGCCTCGTCCTTTTGGTCTTCTCTGGACCAGCTTTCGTTCGCTGATAATGAGAGTTTGCTGACCCCTCCCACGGAAGAGGAAATTTTCGAGACAATTCGCACTAGCAACCCGAATGCGGCCTCTGGGCCTGACGGCTTTTCCATTCCTTTCTTCCGTCAATTCTGGCCTCAGCTAAAGGGCTTAATTATGGCTATATCTCAAGGCCTTTGGTTGGGGATGGTTGACATCTCCAGACTTAACTATGCAGTTCTCACCCTCATCCCTAAAGTCAAAGGTGCTGACTTGATCTCCCAATTTAGACCCATTGCTTTGATTAACAATTTTGCTAAGATTCCTGCCAATGGGATGGCTACTAGGATCTCTCCGATCGCCCATCGGGTTATTAGCCCCTTTCAATCCGCATTCATGAAGGGTAGATTCATTCTGGACGGGGTGCTTTGCCTACATGAGATAATCCATGACCTTCACTGTAAGAAAACCAACGCTGTGGTCCTTTAACTTGATTTCGAAAAGGCGTATGACTCAGTTAGCTGGAGTTTTCTCCGCCATGTTCTGTTGGCCAAGGGCTTCGATGGTTCGGTGGTCCACCGCCTGATGCAACTGGTTTCTGGTGGGCACACGGCGGTGGCTGTCAATGGCCAGACCAGTAATTTCTTTGCGAACGGTAGGGGCCTGAGGCAAGGAGATCCGGCGTCTCCCTTGCTCTTCAATTTTGTGGCTGATGCTTTATCTCACATTCTCTCCCGTGCGGCAGCTGCTGGCCACATCTTGCCGGTTAGCTCCCACCTTATTCCTAATGGCATCTCTCACCTTCAGTATGCGGACGACACCATCATTATGGTTGAACTTAATGATAATTCCGTCACGAATCTGAAATTTCTTCTCCTCTGCTTTGAAGCCTTGTCGGGCCTTAAAATCAATTTTTCTAAAAGCGAGGTCATGGTGACTGGGGTATCTGCCTCAGAAGCGCAGAAGGTCGCCCATCTCTTGAGCTGCTCTCTAGGATCCTTTCCTCTCAAATATTTGGGCCTACCCATCTCCCCGCATAAGCTTTTGGCCAAAGAGTTTGCTCCGGCGGTGACTAAAGTCGACAATAGAGTTTTGCCATGGCAAGGCCGTTATAACTCTCAGGCGGGCAAGGTCGCCCTTACCAACTCCTGCCTTTCCTCTCTCCCGATGTTTCTAATGGGCTTCTATCTTTTGTCTGAAGGGACCCACGCGGGCTTCGATAAGCACAGGGGTGCCTTTTACTGGAACTCCTCCGATAACAAACGAAAATATAGGATGGTCAAGTGGGACCTCATTTGTAGACCTAAGAACATGGGGGGCCTTGGCATCATTAACACCAGAATCATGAATAAGTGCCTTTTGTTAAGATGGTGGTGGAAGATTATGACCCTTGATGATCGTCCTGCTTGGCTTAACCTTCTTAAAGCTAAATACTTTTCCTCCTCGAGCCCTATGTTCGCTTCCTCTTCTGGTGGTTCTCAATTTTGGCGCCAGCTTGTTAGTATTAGACCGACTTTCCGGTCCCTGGTGAAATTGGTTGTTCGTAACGGCAAATCTACGCGGTTTTGGTTAGATTGATGGGTTGGGGACACTACTCTTGCGGTGGCTCACCCGTATCTGTTTTCATTTTGTGCTAACCCTGAGATCTCTATCTCTGAGCTCTCGGCTCAGGGTTGGGTTTTAGATTTCTGGCGCTCTCTTTCCCCTGTGGAGTTGGAAGAATGGCAACGACTTACTGCCTGCTTCGCCTGCTCTCGGTGGAAGAGGACTCTATTTTTTGTCCCCACACCTCTTCGGGTCGTTTTTCTATTAAGTCAGCGTATTCGCATCTCATCGTTGGTGTTCGCTCTGATAAGTTTAAGCTTATTTGGTCTGCCAGCATACCTCCTAAGATCAAAATCTTTCTTTGGCAAGCTTTTCGTCGCAAACTTCCTGCGGCTGACCAGATTAAAAAGAGGAACGGGCTGGGTTCTGATAGCTGTCAACTGTGCGGCGCCCTAGAGGATACAGAACATATCTTTTTCTAGTCCTCTTTGGCTAAATTCATTTGGACTTGCATTAGGCTTTGGCTGCATGTTTCTTGGAACCCTTCCTCTTTTGAGGATCTTCGGCGATGTATCAATTCTCTAGCAGGCCGGTCTAAGCGGGTTTTCATGGTGGGCTGGGCAGTGATTTGTTGGTCGCTTTGGACTACTAGAAACAAGTTCACTATTGAACACATTTTCCCGGCTAACCATGTCAGTTGCTTATTTAAAGCTAATGTCTTTTTGCAGCAGTGGAGATCATTGACTAAGGATGGGGACCTTGAGGCTTTCGACGATATGCTATCCAAAATGAAACCTACGGCTTCTTCTCTACTGTGGTGGTCCAGGAGGACGGTTTCTTAGGATTTCGTTTGCTCGTTTGGCTGGCCTGCGTGCCATGATAGGCTGGATGCCTTGTACCCATACTTTCTAGTTGTGCGGTGTTAAACTTATGTGGTCTATTCGGGTGGTTGTGACTCTGCCTGGTGGATTTATCTATAAAGTCGGGCTCTCGCCTTTTATCTAAAAAAAGAGCTAATTACGTGCACCATAACCATGTAATAACTCCCTCCCTAAACACCCGCTCATACCTCTTCTCCCTTTTCTCACCTTGTCACTCAGGGAACCTCCCACATCATCTCCGCCAACCACACCACCCCTCCCCTCCCTGATCTCGATGATCACCTGCTTCTCACGCTAGGCGTCCGGGTTTACCCAAAAATTCAGGTTATTACGAATTCGGGTTCTAAAAAATGATACCCAAAATTTGCTTAGAAATTTTGATACCAGGAAATTTGGGTTCGGTTCGGGTTTCCCCGAATTAGAACAGCCAAGACCTGATGTACTCGCACAGATAATCAAGATACGCCGGCCAGCAGGACAAAAGGAAGATGTCCGACGTGGTGCACACTATTGCTCCTTCCTTCCCCCTCTCACTCCAAGTCTCCAGTGGCCCGCCGGCGGGATATAATGGACTGATGGATGTGGCAGCTGACGTGATAGAAGGCAGGTGGTGGTAGGAAAGAAAGGATGCGGCCGCTAGTCGGGAGTTTCTGGACGAGGAGATGGCGTAACGCTGACTTGCGAGGAGCAGAGCAGAGGGCGTCATGGCATTCGTGCTGGTGCGTGAGTGTGTGGCGGCAGGGTCGGGAGTGGATGGCGATGGAAAGGTCTATAGTCTGTACGGGTCAAACAAACTAGGTCATAAGCAAATAAAGGCTATGTTGAGCTCGGCCTTAGCTAGTGGTGACTATTTTTTTCTGTGCCTTTCCCTAATTTCGTATTATTCAGGTACCGAGAATATAAACCTGAATTTCGTGAATAAATTTCGGGTTTCTAGGGTTGCTACATGAAAATGTGTTTGGGTATATACATGTTCGGGTTTTTCGGATTTGGGTTTCGAGTATCAGGTTTTATGCCCATCGTGACCTGTTGCCTCCTCTTACCTCGCCGTCAAGCAGCACATCAATCTCATTGGGCTCTCTAGGGATAGACGAGGAATTATGTAAGGTTTGGTCGGGGGTTCCCATGACTGTGTTTTAGATGTAATTTCGATGACATTTAAAGAAAGAAGGAGTCTGAAGCAGTGTCAAAGAAACAAAAAACAAAGGAAGGGAGCCGAACCAAAACCATCGCTCTCCCCTGGTAGGGTTCCCCAAATCAAGAAGGGGGAGCTGAAGCTAGTGAACGAGTGATGTCGTCCAAGACCCCATCGACGGCGGCCGAGAGCGGCGGCGTGGGCACCAGCAACGGAAACAGTCTCAGCCGCGTGATTTGCCCGGAGAGTCGTTTCATCCCCTACAGAGCGGAGCAAATCGAGGAGAGGCGTCCTCTCCATGATTGACACCTTCTACCAACGAAAAAAATAGCGCGCTATAACGACGCTATAGCGTCGTTATAGCGTATTCAGAAGGAAACGCTATATTTTAGCAAATTCAGACGCTATGGCGCTATTCACGTAATTAGCATGCTACAGGGCGTTATAACGTTGTAGCGTGTGGCGATATAGCGTTCAAATGATGAAAAATATTAGAAAAATAGGGAAGCACAGGTTTATTTTGTGGTTATTGCACGGTAGATGTAGGCTAGGTGCTCAGTGTTGAGAGTTAATACATGTTAAATAGATTGACTATAGTTTGACATTCAGTTTAAAACTTGTGCTTCCTATCTAGCTAGATTATGTCTCTCTACAATGGTGTCTTAAGGTACTGAAATACTTTATTTGTGGATATATTTGGCATTTTTTGCAAACACTATTTTAAAATATAGCACACTATTAGCGTGCTATAACTTGTGTAGCATTTTGAGAAGGGGCTCGCTATATTTTATAGCGCACTATTTTTTTCGTTGCCTTCTACAGAGAGGCGTGCGACAGGCTCGCTGTGCAAGCGAAGGCCGCCACCCACATCCGCTTCCTCGACGCCGGCGTCTGCATCGGCCTCCTCTACCCCGTCTCCAACATCATGGCCAACACCCTCGTCACCTCCGACCTCCGCCCCGGCCTCATGGACAAAGTCCCGGAGGATACCAAGCCGGGAGAGATGGACAAGCGCTCACTCGACGGCCTCGCGGCTTTCCTGATCTACTTCTTCCCATACCTTGCCGAGGGGAGGCCGTGCGGTACCTACTGGTCGCCGACGCCGACCCTCTCATCGCTGCGCGCCTGATAGTGGCGGACCGCGGCATGATGGGGTTCTCGGTCATGTCACTGGCATCGGTGGCGACCTTCGAGGCGGCCCTCAGGTTGGCTGCGCAGGTTGCCAAGCACCCTCAGCCAGAATGCCTCGTCAGTGTTTGGATGTCGCTATCCGCGCAACTGCAACAGGTCCTCGGTTTTCTCTCGGCGATGCAGACCCAGACACAGGGTATGAACATCCAAATGTTGCTCGGTGGACGGTCGCTTCCCGACCTGGGGAAAGCTTGGAACCTTGCAGCTTCTCAGCCACCTTACAACAACATTGCCGATATGCCATACAAAGCCACCCGGTCTCCGAGGATGGTGCTTCTCTACACAATTCGCATCTTCTACCTACGAGCCCTGGCAAGGCTGCCGCGTGCAGAGCTGCGCACTCGCTACCACCGCAGTATGCTCATGGCCGGTTACTGCTACGGCCCCTTGGACCCTGTCTCCAACATCATCCTCAACACGATTTGGTACGATGTCATGTTCACAGCACCCCAGCCACCAGTGTTGGACATGATCGGCCCAAACAACCTTACCCGATTGGAGAGCCGCTCCTTTTATGGTCTTGCCTCTTTCCTCCAAACCCGCTACCATGATATGCCGGAGCACCAACTGGTGCCATGCCTAGTTGCCTCCTGTGCCCACCTGTCCGTGGCTGATCCGAACTTTGATGCGGAGTTTGCTTACCTGCCTTTTGCTGATTCCAACATTAGTGCTGCTGCATCTGCTGGTGCCAAGATGGAGGCGATATGCCAGCAACAAGAATGCAGGACCAGCACACCAGGCATCTATGATGTTGTCAGCAAGATGGAGAAACAAAGACCGTGCTCAAGTGGCAAGGAAGCCTATGAGGCTGCAGCCACCGCAGCATGGCACCCCAATCCTGAGGCTCATGCAGAATTTCTCAGTTCAGTCGACATGATGCTGAACGGACCTGCCTTCCTCCTACTGCAGAACAGTGACCAACTCACTTCCGAAAACGTGCAGTTCATCGCCAGCTTGTTGTCTTCCAATCAAAAACCTACGCCTGAACAAATTATAAAGAGGAACCGTGTTCCCGCATTGGAGGCAAAGATGCGTTCCGAGGCTCAAGAAAGAAGAATCACCAAAAAGGTGAAAGCTGCATTGGATAAATACTTGCTATGAAATGGGGCCGGTAACTAGTTTTCTCTCTTCCCTTATTGTAACCGATAATGGTAGCCATGCTGTCTTACAGCTACTCATTAACCTATGCTGTCTTACGGCTACTCATTAACCCCATTTGCTCTTTCATTTTTTCCTATAGGAACCCATGTATGATCTTCATATTATCTGTGGTGCAAATGAATCCATAGGCAGCCCTGAGTACTGCATCGATGTCCTGGATGATCCCTTGTCTTATTCCCCATGCAAATTCCGTTACTCACATGTAAATTTTTTGGTGACCTAGAAGGATTCTTCATCTGCAGAAAGATATCCCTTACTCTTTTTTGCTGAATTCGATAATGAGGAGGAGGATGAGCCCCTATGCTGTCTTGTCGATGTGCCAACGCCATTTGTAGGTTTGCTCTTCTTTCTGCACAAGTTTGATGTTTTCCAGTCATTGTGCCTGTTTCTTTTAACCATGTAGATAACTATGAATGTTGAGTTATGAGTAGTAAACAACAACATGAGTAAATTTGTAGACACCTTGCACAACCTTGCAATAGGAAGAGGATTTCAATTTGAATGTGCAGCCACACACAAAAATCTTCTATAGGATCTAAAGTATTTTGTCTGTGTCTAAGGGTCAGAGGTGCTGAAAGGGGTCAGGTGCAAATGGAAGCAAAATAATATACAATAAAGATGTTCATGATATGGGTATGCTCTAAGCTACCATAGGTTGAAAAGGCAGAAATTGGAAAACTCGTCACAATTAACCTTAAAATCCATGGAGATAGTAGAGAATTGCTCTTTGGTAGAAAGTAAGAGTCTATGTGGTTAAACAGAAAGGAAAGGAAAACAAAGAAAAGGTGAGCTGCTGCTTTTGTACCACTGGTGAAGGTACAAGAGTTAACATCGCTTCCATGCTCCCTACATGAATAATATGAGCCACATCCCAGCCTAGTGTCCAAAGCCGTAGCACTGTGCAGCACATAGTACCAACATTTTCTGTGGGGATCTAGCAGTTGAGAGCTCAGAAAGTGGGGAAAGAAATTCCACTTTAATAATCAACATATTCTTTTACACCTGAGATAAGAAGAATGTTACTCCATGGATGCAGTTCTCTTGAATATGACATTCGGTGCAAATTTTGATATTCACTATGTTTTTGGTCTATAGAACATGTTCGGTGCCTGTATTGTGAGGCTCAAGGGACCAAAATTGTGCATCCGGCATTGGAAAAATTTCATGGGAAAGAAAGGGAGTTGGAGAGGGAGTTTGAGGAGGCTATCTCTAAAGGACGTTATGACCGGCTTATCAGCACGAATGAATATGCTGTTCAACACTTGTGTGGAGTGGAGGAGGATTTCATGTACATTGATATCAGGTGCATCAGTTAGATGCTCTGCAATTCCAGTTAGATACTCCGTGATGTGTTTCCTGCAAGGCCACCATATCATGCTTTTTTTCATCTTGTGGACAAAATCATCACAATGAAGGATTTTGTACTTGATCTTATTATTGGTTGCACATGAAGCAGCATGTGGTTGGCTGTGTAGTAGTACTTCATATAGTACTGGTTTTTGGTCTTCCTTGTGTTCTTGGTGATATTCTTGATTTTTTAGATTATTTAGCACTTGGTAATTTTGTTTAAAAGTTCTTGTCATGTGTTCAGATCTGTCTATTAGGGTTTGGTTTAGTTACCCCCGCAAGTAAAATGTTTTTTTTTGAAATAAAACATACTCTTTATTTATTAGTAATAATGGTTACATCGTCTATAATAAAATTTACAAATAAAACTATTTGGTTCCATTTAAATGCATGGTGTGGCGTGCAGAGTGACCTCAAACAAGAGTAACAACTGATTGGATGGGCTCTCGCGACCCGCGAGGCAACTCGCCGGCGTCTCCCCTGCTCGTCGCCGGGGGCCCTGCCAGCTCCCTGCCCACCCCACCCGCCGCCCTAGCCACCTCCACCCTGCCTAGTACTGCTGCTGCTGGCTCCTCCATTGGCTATGGATCTGAGCCGGATCCTGGTGCTGAAGTAACCAGCGCCCGCCCCCGTGCCATTGCTCCTTGCCCAGGTATCTCCTTCCATAACCGCGTCCTCTCGGTGTTCCTCTCCGGCGTGTCTTTTGACCCGGCCGCCCCGCACAGTTCTGCCACCCTTGGCACGCTCTGGGTCGTCGCTCCCTTCCCGGCGGCGTGCTTCACGGCGGATGGGCTCGCCGGTCTTCTTTCTTATTTCTTCTGTGATCCCAGCGAAACCCTAGTTGCGACCCCCGCAAGCGACCTTATCTTCTCCGTTCTGGTCGCCAGTGCCGCTGTTGCCCAGTTTGTCGCAGCTGTTGGCCCCGGGCTCATGACTGCGATCAACCTTTCGTTGCATGTCTCCCTGCATGGGGCCCGCACTACGGCGAGGAGAGCAAAGGCGCGAGCCGCTCGTCTCGTGTTCAAATCTAACCTGCCCAGAGTTAATGCTAGTAGACGGCGCCGCTCGACCCCTAGCCTCATGGCTATCTGGAGCCCCGTCACGTCTGAGCTTAATGGCAGTGGTTTACTCCCCTGCCACCCGTCGACGTTTTGCCCAGCGATTCATCGCGGTCGACTTTAGGGTCCGCGGGAGATCCTGTCTCCGATTCTCCAACGGTCACGGTCACCCCTCCCAGCGACAACGGGGTTGTCGTTAGCGGCTTTCGCCCGTGCATTGACTCTCTTGAGATTGACCATCTCGCGGCGTAGGGGCCCACGACGTTTACTCTCCGTTCTGTCGCTCCCACCTGCCCGTATAGGGATGCCCTTCTCTCGCCTCCCCATCCCGCTCGCAAAACCCCGCCACGCCCCATCCCACCTCTATTGCTGACCGGGTGCTTTCGCTGCCTCTCCGAACGACATCTCATTCGTGATTGTTGCGACCCAGTCCGCTGTCGGCGTTGTAGGGTTTCCGGGCACCGCACCAGATCACCGCGCTGTGCTATGGCCTCCTGCCGCTCGTTACCTTCGCCGCCAGCCTCTGCGGCTTCTCCCTCTCGCCCATCGCCGCCCCCACCACCGACTCGCCGGGTCTCCACCCTGTATCCCTCCGTTCGCCTCCGCTCCACCATGCTCCGGGCCAGCTTGGCTCCTTCCATGCCCGCCCTGAGGGGAGCGAGCTTGCTCCTCTGATGAAGCGGTGTACGATGGCGCTGCACCCGCTTCCATGACATCTCCACTTCTGTGGTGCTGTCCTCCCCTCCGCCGTCCCCTGTGCTTTCCTCCCCCGTGCGCCGGCACCCGGAACCGGTGCTGGTGCCTTTGCTGGCCCCGACGCCGACACCCACGTCGCTTGCTAGTGCCGCTGCTAGTGTGGCAGTGGCCGAAGAGGGAGGCGGCTCTCTCTCGGGGTCGTTGGGCTCTTCCCTCTCCTCGGGCTCGTCCGGTCGCTCTATCGTGAATGAATCTCAGTGTCCGGACTCCGTCGAGGTTTTCATGCCGGAGGGAGACTACGCGGCGACTCTTTGCCTTGCGGTCGTCACCATCGAGCCACCCACCGCTTTCCATAATGACACCGTCACTGTTCAGGCAGCAGTCCTCCGCTACATTGGCCACCTCCTGCCGGAGACGATCCCTTCCTCCGTAGGGGCCATGTACCTATGGTTTGCCTCCGCGGCTAATCGTGAGGAGGTGATGGGGCGACATCCATTCATGGATGAGGGAGCCCGCATCAACCTTCACCAGGAGGAGGCCTACGGGCGTGTGGACCTCCATGTTGGCTATTGTGCTTTGCTCGCGGCCATTGGTTTCACCGCGGAGTTCCTCAACCCCGTCGGCATCGCTGCTGACTCCTTCTCCAGGGATGGCATCTACATCCCATTCTTCCCTAGCCCACCGTCGCCGTTCGCCCACAACCAGCCCGCCCTCCATGGGCGTCCGCTTGGGCATGGACGCGGTGGTGGCCCTGCTCCCGCTGCAAGCCATGGAAGGGCGTGTGGGGCCGAGCGTCAGCTTGCTTCGGTGCTTTGCCTTCTTGGCCCCCCTCTGCCGTCTGCCGACATGGAGATGGAGCTTGGGCGTGTCGCCGGCTCGCCGCCGCATGCTATCTCCCCGTTCTCGGGCTCCCCTCTCTTCTCGGGCACTGAGAACTCTCTCTCTGGGGTG